TTCCTCACAGGTCTTTGCTCTAAGGATATGTGAATGCTGTGACCTTTTTGATCATGCTTTCTTCTTGTGCCCCTGAACTTATTGCAACAAAAGTCACATTCAGTCAAACACACTCAGCTTTCTTGAGAAACATTTGTTCTGGAAACTGTTTTTCCATTTTAAATGCACTTTTGATCATGCTCTCCCCTGAATGACCAAGACTGCACTGTTAGAATCTGAAATAAACTTGTTGGCAGTGGGAAGGAAGAGTGCTAGACCAACACCCAGAAAACCCCAGTTCCGATCCTGCCATTTACTGTGTGACTTTGGGTAAGTCACCTCTCCTCTCAGGGACTCAGGGCTCTCATCCATAAAAGAAGTACATTGCTCTAATATGTAGAGTCTAAATTATTTCTGTTGTCTTTTTTACCCCTGTGATTCAAAATGACTTGCAACAATGCTTAAGAATTATTGAGAGGGCAAACAGGACTTTCTCAGAAAGAACACAAGCAAGCTTTCACTTGAATGTCTTTCAGGGAAATTTCTTAGGAAGCATTAAAAAAGGCTGTTCTCTAAAGAATGGCTTTGCTCCCTGGACCCACTAGATTGCCAAATAAGAAGAGTTGTTTTTCTTTTTCTTTTTTTTTGGGGGGGGGGGGAAGATAGTGTTGTAATATAATATTTTGGGACAAAATATTTTTCTCTCAACCAAGACATTCATCTAAAAGAGGAAAATATTTATTCATCCATTTATTACATAAATATTGAGTACCTACTGTATGTGCAGGCACTGAACCGTTAGAGGTTACAGTGGTAAACAAGACAGAGCACTCATTCTCATCGACTTACAGTCATGCAAGGGAGACAAATAAATACACAAGCTAATTACAGGTGGTGGTAGCAGCCATAAAGGAAATAAAGAGAGGGTGTGTTTGAGAGTGAGGAAATATACTCTGGGTGTAGTAGGCAGGCAAGACTTCTCAGAGGAGGTGGTGTTCACCCTGAGGCCTAAGGGATGAGAAGACAAGGATTATACAAAGCATCAGGGGAGAGCATTTCAGGAATATGGAACGGTTTTAGAATAAGAGACAAAAAGGAGACAGTGTCGGATAACCAGAGTGAGATAATGGGTTCCTGGACTAGGGTGGTACCGTTGGAAATGAGAGATTTGAGAAATGCTCTCAAGATGGAAATGACAAGACTCGGTAATGGATTGAATGTGGTAGAGAGGGATAATCGACCGAATGGCTGGTGCCACTTTTATTGAGATGCGGGGGACTCTTAGGGAGAAACTGAGGGTTTTTTTTTGGTGTTTTTTTTTTTTTATAGAATAAATAATTTTATCTTAAATACCATATTTAAGATACCTTTGAGATATCCCAAGGGAGAGTCAAGTAGGCAGTGAGATACACAAACTTGGAACTTGGGGCAGAGGTCAGGGCTCACCCCAGAAATGGGGAGTCATTGGCGTGAATAGGTACATTGAGTGCGTGGGACTGAGATCATAGTGGGCAATGGTTCTCTACCTCAGCTGTCCATGGGACTTACTCCCAGAAATTCTGATTTAATTGAGCTGATGTGGGGCCTGGACACTCATATTTTCAAAGCTCCCTAGAGAGCTTTCATACTTAGGGTGAAAGAGCCACTGATCAAGGAAGAAAGTAGAGAGGACCTGATAGAAGAGGATCTAGGACTGAGCTTTTAAATAGTCTTAAAGAGTTTTCCATTCCTTATACCTTTTCCTGCTTGGAAGGTCCAGTCTTTGGCTGTGTGGTTGAGATTAAGTTCTCCTTACATCCTGGCAGAGCACCTGTCCCTGAGTACAGTCAGTGTGCCCTCTGTCTTCCATGTCCTCCATTTCTGAGTGCATTGCTTGGGTGCTGAGGTTTTAAGTACATCTTCTCTCAGCCAGTCGTTCAAGTGTTACCCTGATGTGGTGTAGGAGTGGTGGGTATTTGTCACACTTGAGAGACAGAGAATCTGTTCAGCTTTTGTTCTTCATTGTACTGTAAGAATTTGTTGTGGTTGTGGTGGTGGCTGTGCAGAGGCAAACGTATGCCAAGGAAAAAAACACGTGTGTTTTCTGTAAATATGCAGCCACAGATAGCTGGCCCCTGAGTTACTCTAAAGCAGTGGTCAGCAAACTCATTAGTCAACAGAGCCAAATAACAACAGTACGATTGAAATTTCTTTTGAGAGCCCAATTCTTTAAACTTAAACTCCTTCTAACATCACTTCTTCAAAATAGACTCTCCCAGGCCGTGGTGTTTTGTGGAAGAGCCACACTCAAGGGGCCAAAGAGCTGCATACGGCTTGCGAGCCGCGGTTTGCTGACCACGCTCTAGGGTGTCTGTAGGTATTTGGTAGCTCGCCTTCAAAGATAATTTCCAAAAGGTCATTGAGGCTTTTAAAATTTCACCTGCTCTTAAATTTTTCACACTTGTAAGTGCTTCTCAAAGTCCTTTATTTTTGTCTGACTTCCACTTACTCCCCTGAAGCACTATGCTAAGAGAAAATAAAAGTGTGCTCACACATCCTTATACTGAGCTCAAATCTCATACAGTCTCCATGAAAACCCAATGAAAAGGCTGTAGAAAGCAGAGGCAGAGCTTATTAAATTTTTTTGTGACCCATGGCCCACATAAAGTCCCACTGTATAAAGGAGCCATGCAAGATCATGTAGCCCTCCCCTTGGCCCGCAGGGAATCTGCCATTCCAAAAATACGGCCTATTAAAAAAAATAACTTCCAGGGACAATTCCATAAGCTTTCTTGTTAATGTTTACAGCTGTATCAACACCACACCAATACTTTTTTTGTATGTGTGTGAGGAACAGAATCCACAGATTTAACTGTGACAAGTCCTATATAATTCCCCAATCGTGAAGCCGGTTAGACACAGCAAGATGTATTGATGGAAGTTTGTTTAGGGTAATGGGTGCACTATTAACTTTGTAATTGAATCCTCGCTGCTGCTCCTACTTGCTTTGAAAACCAGCCTTGACACTTCACAGGGCTTAGTTCTTAGGTGTCTCACTCTGCAGATCTGGATATTTTTCAGTCCTCCACAGCAGCTGGAAGAGGAAGGGAAGAAAAAAAAAAAAACCAAAACTAGAATGCCAACATTGGTAGAGCCACGTGATGAGTGGAAAACTTAGTCAACCAAGACAAGAACCATACCCTAGTCCAGGACTCACTAGTCAGTATCTGAGGACCATAGGGTAATTGTTTTCCCTCTGTAGGGCTCAGTCACTTCATCTATGAATAGCTTACTTGCTAAGGTCTAGGAGCTGTTTGGGGTAATCTCTAAAGGCTCCTCAGACTTCTAAAATCTGTTTGTAAGCTGCATAAAAAGTCATAAATGGTGGGAAAAACAACCATCAGCAAACAATGTGAATTCTCATATTCACATGGTAACCCAAAGGGTAGTTTCCCCAGTTTTTTTTTTTTTTTTTTTTTCCTGATTGTTTTTTCCTCGTCTTAGTCTCTCTGTTATAGCAGATGCCCCAAACTTGCACTGGCAGGAAATAGGGTGGTGGGTGCATTTCAGTTAATGGGTCTAGTTGGAACATGTTTGGCTGTGGAGACAGCTACACTCATATTACCAAGCCTTGGCTTCCTGTCTGTTTTCTTTGGGCTGGGTAGGCAATGAAAAAGGAGACAGGAAAATACATTTTGGGGCAAATAAAATAAGGAATTTGTCTTATGAAGACAGCTTATAGTTGGGAAATTCTAATGTTCAACTTAACCCTATCCTGATACATCCCTCTTGTCCTGTACTAAGTGGAAGATGAGTTGTTCTTGCTGCCCATAGAATATACCTTCCTGTTCTTGGAGGCCCTTAATAATCCTTCTTCAAGTTTTTTTATGGATATTAATCTTCATTTCTTTAATCAAAGGGCAAAGACTTATTCCTGTCTTCTTAATGGCTCTTTAAATCAGCTTCAGTTGGGGTAACATGCTAGGGCCTCACTGGTCTATGGAAGGAAGTATCCACAGTATATTTCTGTTTATGTATTAGGCATATTGTACTTGTTCACCACAGCCTCACTGTACAGATCTACACTTTATTAATGTGGCAGCGAGGCAGTACTGTACTCTTTACTAAGTATGATTTGATGTATTTTTAAAGAAGTCTCAGAACCTTAGTTATCTTCTAATTTGTTTATTTCCAATATTTTAGGATATCCTTGGATTTTAGACTTGAATAAACTAGAAGAGAGACAATTTTTAAAAAATTTTTTTAAAATAATGGGTTATCTCATTCACATGGTAACTCAAAGGATATTTTTCAATCTTTCACAAAGCCACAGTTCTAGATTTAAAATAAAAGAAACTGTGATTTAATACAAAGTCATTACATGCTTTCAGGCTTTGACATATCACAAAATATCCAGGTTTCTCTTGAGAGTTTGAGTTTCTTTATTTCTATTTCTATGTTTTTCCCCTTAAAGGGATTCTAGAATTTAGTTTTAATTTTCCAGAAAAGAGTCTCAGTAAGGTATTAATTGTAACAGAAAAAAGAAAAAGTCTCTATAGTCATCATGGAAATTTCCCTTTGACAAATGTGTGTGTGTCTGTTTCTGCCCCAACTTTGGGATAGTAGATGTCACAGCACAGCCTCTTTGAACTTGCAGGGACATCTTGCCCTTCATGAAACAAGGGGACACACCCTAGAGCATGTTCACCTTCCCCATCCTCACTGAAGGGCTATAGGAGGTGTCCAGAGAGTTCCCCGTGAGTTCCTGTGTCCTGGCCTCGCTCTGATGCTTGACTCAGAGTCACCCTCTGGGACCTCAGCTCTCCACTGTAGAACAGAACCAGGAATGCTTGCCACCAGATGATGCTGATAAAAGCAATTTGAAATGGAAGGCTTTATATACTAGTAGACACTCCATTATGAGTACCAGTATTGATAATCCCTTGGCTTAAACCCTCAGTATGTATGTTCACATATCTATTTAGCATGGTCAATTGTTCAGCTAATTAATATGCTTTTATTTTATGATTTGCTGTTTCCAGGGCACAGACAGAAGCTTGATGACTCTAAACCTAGTTTGTTCTCTGACCGCCTCAGTGATTTAGGGCGCATTCCTCATCCCAGTATGAGAGTAGGTGTCCCGCCTCAGAACCCACGGCCCTCCCTGAACTCTGCACCAAGTCCTTTTAATCCACAAGGACAGAGTCAGATTACAGGTAAGACAGACTCCTAGGTTCACTTGCGCAGACTCTGGCAGGCTGGGGGTGAGGGGCTGCAGATGAGATGTGTTCACTTCAAAACTCTTGGAGCGGTGAAATGGCTTACTATTCAAGAATCAAACTTGAAGGCACGGACCTTATTTTTTAAATTAAAAAAACAAAAGATTCCAGCATTTACTAACTTTGGGATGAAATGTGGGTAAAATTTCTGCTGTCGCTGTGTCAGTCTGCACACTGGTGGAATGGTAATAACTGATCTCTGGGAGAATGTTTGTTACAAGTTTCTGTATTGTGTCCACGTGGTGCAGGGGAATACCATCACACCCTCACGCTTAGGAAAATTAGTTACTGTCTTAGATTTGGGCTTAAATTTCTTGTATGTATAAGTATTTCATTAAGTTTTCTTGAAAATTGCCCAGGGCTAACAGGAAGCCTTGATTGGTGGTTCAAAGGCAAAGTCAAGGAGCAACTCATTGGCACAGAATTTACTTCTGATTCACATTTAGCTCTGGTTCCTCCAGCAACATTTCTCTTTTACATTCTAGTAAGCTATTTCACCCTTATTCTTAAAAGTCACCATCAGCATTGAATACAGACTAATTCACAGTTAGTGCATTAAGATTTCTTGGGTTTTTTTTTTTTTTTTTTTGTCCCAGCCCCACTTAAGGTAGCACTATTCTGCTCTTTTAGGTCATGCTGACAAGAGAGTATGTCAGTCATCATAGAGCTTTAATTTGCAACTCATAAGTATGGAGAGTTGAAAGCAAGTCGACATTGTTGGCAGAGGTGGCCTAGAATATAGAGGGGAAAATAACTCAAAATAAAATATACAATAAACTCTCAAAATGGATATTTTTTAATGGTTAGGTTTTTGTCTATCGTGGTTAGGTTTGAGTGGCTTAATGGTCTATAAACATAATTGTTTATAAATTAAATGACCTCCCTTCCCTTCTCTTCTGCCCATATAAAGTGTGTATATATATCTCCTGGGATATTTATTTAGAGTATGTTTCTGTGGGTATATGAGTATTAGTCTGAATATATGAGGATGCCTAAGCATTTTAAAAATAATATAGAATTATAAGAATGAGATGTCTGCACCCTGGGAGAACCAGGTAATCTGCATCAGGGAAGAACAGTAGAACGCTATGAAGAATAGCCATGTCTTAGCCTCATAAACCTTTAAGTGTTAGTATGCAGGATAAAAAGTTAATGTGTTTACTAGGCATGTGTCCTGGATGAAGATGCAGGGGTGAAGTTTACACTAATGTGAATTTGAAGCTTGTAGTATAGGTGCTGCTGCATTTAAAGTGGTGGATTTTAGATCACTGATTAAGGTTCATGATACCTGTCCTTTTGTCTCTATAGTACTCCTTAGACTGTGTATGTGGAGAAGCATATGTATACCTATATAAAGTGTTTATATATGATTGGTAAGGGACTTATGATGGCAAGATATATATATATATATATCTTAAATTTTCATTGTTTGCCAGTTATATTTTGCTAATGACTAATGCTTTTAAAATGGTCTTTGGAATCTGTGTGCTAGATTCACGTAAGAAGATGCTTTTCTCAAGACTCTGTCCTCAAACCTAAAGATGACATCATAAAATAGAACCAGGAGACATTTTGGAATCTGAAGTTACCTTAGATATCATTAACCAAAAAGCTGGTAAAAGTTGTGAAGAAGAGCTGCATTTTCACGGCACCTACCCCTCAGTCCCCAGATGTGCGTGCAGTGAGCGTGGGGCAGGTTGATGCCGGAAGAGCATCTGAGCAGATCAGGTGTGTGGCCACCTGCACAGACAGCTCTCCACTGGTCGTCAGCCTCTCTCCACCGTCCTCCTGTTGGGAAGCTCAGGAAGGCTAAGCTCCTTGTTTATAGCCAGTTAGTGGCAGGGCAGAATTAGGTCTCGTCACTCCTAATGCAGTATGTTTTTTCTTATACAACTAGAGCCCCAATGAAGGGAATTCGTGCAAGATTAGGCCTTCCTTCTCCTGGCTGCTAGCGCCTGCTCCCCTCTGGTACCTGGGAGCCTGGGCTTCCCTCTGGCTGCTGGCAGGCACCCAGGACCCAGGTTTCTCTTGAAGCCTGGCTTCCTGTGAAAGGACAGCTGGTCTAATTAGCATATTATGCTTTTATTATTATAGATACCATGCTGCAACTCCACCATGGTCATTTAACACTAATGTTTAAATATTCACTGGATATATTTCCAATAAATGAAAATATAAAACAAATTTATTTCTAGGTACAAATTGCTTTTTGGAATTATATTACAAGAGCATTATCTCTGCATTTTGGGGTTGCAGCATAGTGGAATTGATCTATAGACAAGTCTTCCTCTTTTTTTTTTTTTTTTAAACATTCACAAAGTATTGGGCCCAACAACTTTCTCAAACTTTACAAATTTGAAGATTCATACCCTCCCCCACTTTCTTTAAATGCTCCCATATTGTTAGTGAGACAATACAAGTATCTGCCCATAACCAAGGATTTCTACCATTAAGAGTTCTACCATGGCCCAAATTATTAGGAAAACCCAAGAATACCCATTGCAGTGGCCACTTCAAAGTAAATCGAATAGATTTCATTATTTTCTCATTAGATTAAATTTTAATTTATTGAATAAGTATGAGTTAGAGCCTACCACACACATATTGAGAATTGGGTCTTAGGTAATATGCGGGAGAAAAGAAAATTAGAGTCTATATTTTGTTGTTGTTAATGCTCACCCAGGAATATTTTTCCATTGATTTTTAGAGGGAGCGGAAGGGAGGGAGGGAGACACACAGAGAGAAACATTGATGTGAGAGAGACACATTGACTGGTTGCCTCCTGCAGACACCTTGACCCTGTCTGGGGATTGAACTTGCAGCCAAGGTGCATGCACTCGCCAGGAATTGAACCCTGGATCCTTCAGTCTGTGGGCCAACACTATATCCACTGAGCCAAACCAGCTAGCGCTAGAGATTAGACTTTAACTTTCTGGGCCCTAGACTATAATATTGTTGTTTTTTGAGTCCACTTCAATAGCATCCCACTGCAATCAGGACAACCCTCCTCTCTCTCTCCCCTTACTGAGGCTGTCCTATCGACAGTGGTCTCTGTGCTGGCAACATCCACTCATCTTCTAGGTCACTGTCATTTTCCTCAGGAAAGAGTCCCAGATCTTCATCTAGAAGGCTGCTTATCCAGCCTCTAAGCTTTAGCTGAGATTGCCTTATTTCATAGCTTCTGTGAATTTGCTTTCTTCTGCTCTGCTAGATTATAAACTCTTTGAGGGGTTTATTAGAGGGATTTATTTTCTTTTATGCCTAGTGCAGTGGTAGCATCTGATTAAATATTGAACGAAAAAAAAAGTTTTAGATGAGAAACAATCAGTGCAAGAAGGGCTGGAATATCATGCCTTGTTATCATTAACTGTTCTTTCTAATTTCTTCTCCCAGGGTGTCCCTGTTCTCTGGTGATGAACAGTAATGGGAGAAATTACATTTCAATGTAGCACTTAAAGGGTTAAACCATGTGATAGCATTCTAGGTTGGGATCTACATAATTGCATGATTAAATTTAAGTTCTACTTAAGAGCCTTACCTATAATGGATTTTGTAACATCTTTGTAATGTGCCACACCTGCATTTCAGTTCATGTAATCCTTTGGATAAAGACATTTGTCACCGAAAGGGCCCAGTTCTTTCTCATTGGCTTGGCTCTCTTGATATCTTAAGCTCTTACCCCCAAACTGAAGATAAAGATCACGGTTGTATAGTCACCACTAGTTCTCGCACTTGCCAACATAAAGGGCAAGACAAACTCCCAGAAGAGCAAAATGAAATTAGAAACCATAAACTGAGTCATAAGCACTTAATGTTTCATATTAGTTTTCCCCAGTGCCTCTTGCAGTTCTAGGGCCACGGGTGTAGCCACGTGGTGGGCGGGCATCCTCACAGTGCTAGTCTACTGGTGTCACTCTGCTGTGGTCTTCAGCTGCTGATGTTCTGCCTGAGGGCCCAGGGCCTCCTCATGGCTTCCTGAGGAAGTTGGTTCCTCTGTACCTTTTTTTAATCTTTCAGACATCTGCTGCCTGTCTCTAGGTGCTAGGAAATACCTAGTCTATCACACATGTCTCCTTCTTTGGGTTCAGAATGCGGTTATAGCAGTAGAGTAGGGATAGTGTGCTAGGAGATATTGCTGGAGATAATCGCTGCTTTAAACTCAGCGCTGTCCACATGGGCAAACTGCACCTAAAAGGAGAGCTGACTCAGGTGTTAGGTTTGGTGGATTGGACAGTTGTGTAACCTTTGGGCTAAGCATTCTGCTCTTCTGTTACTCAAGTGAACAAGATAGATATAGGTCCTGCCCACCAGGAGCTTACATTTTACTTATATAGTCAGTAAATGGGCAAATATACATACAAGACAATTTTAGATTATAGTGAATGCTTTGAGAAAATGAAGTAGGGTAAATGTGATAGCAGTTTAGGAAGGGAAGAAGCTAATTTTGATTTGAAAGTTGGGAAAGGGATCTTTGAAGAGCTTTGTAGACCTGTGAGCACACATTTCAGGCAGTAAGAAGCTCATGCAAAGACTCTCGGGAAGGAAGGAAAGTGGCCTTCAGGGGACAGGAAGGTCATTGTAAGTGGGAAGTAGTGAACAAGGGGGATGATACAGAAAGGCAGGCAGGAGCCAGATTATAGAGATCTTTTAAGGCCCTGATAGAGAGCTTGGGTTGTCCTGATTGCAGTGAGGTGCTATTGAAGGATGTGAAGCAATATGTTTTTGTTTTTTTTTTGTTTTTTTTTTAAATCGCTTTGGATGCTGTGTAAAGAACAGATCATTAGGAGACAATGATAGAAGCAGGGTCATCATTTAGGAAGCTACTGCAGAAGCACAGAAGATAGTTGAGGATGGTAGCATTTCTTTTCTTTCTTCAAAACTTAGATCAAATGCTGGCACCTCTGCCAGGCCTTTTCCAACCTGAGCTGAGTCTCAGT